AACACATACATTTTCTCTTCCTCTCCATGTCCGTTTCAAGCTGATGGACCACGTCGCTTCACAAAGTTCACAAAGCTGTGACACATTGCTGCAGTATCAGATCGGGTATCTTCCTCTGTGAGGATAATATTTCATGTACAGGACATTCGTTTTCTAGTCAACTTCAGCGGTGAGCCACCGCCGGTGTCCGTCCATCCATCATCACCTGACCTTCAGCTCCGTGCCCTGACGGCTGCCCGGGGCACAGGGAGAGTGACTAATGTCGTCTCAGCCACCACCTCCCCGCACCAAAGGCCCCTGATATCCGTCCAGTATTATCCGACCCTGGCGTCTACAGATTTCTATCGCTGCTCCCAGCTTTAATTATTCACGCTGCTGAATCACACTCTCACCAGAGATAGCCAGACCGGCCAGACTGCCTGCCCTCTCCCTCTCTCTGATCTTATCTATCTGGCTGTATGACACTATCTCATCTTTCTCTTATAATACTGTAGATTAGAAGAGACAACTGCTGGGGCCCGACAGTCAGCAAGTATACACTTTATAACTATGCCAAGACAAAAGAGACTGTATTTTCATAGGTAAAGTTTGGTCTCAGAGGTGGGAAGTACAAAATGAAGTCAGCTAAAAAACAAACAACCTGAAATTATATCATTATCAACTATAAAAAAATTCAGATGAAACTGGTTGTCATGTTTTCAATAACAATGACGGTGGACAAACAAGGGCATTAGAAAAGTTGTACAAATTTCTGAAATCCCCGAATCTTTCCGACGTTGGAATAGGGGTAATTTCTGTGACTTCTGAAACCAGCAACCATCCTACAAGAAAACCCACTTCATGCAGCCAAGATCAGATGTGCAGACGTGAGAGTATGCAGAGTTAAAACTTTTTTCTCAAGCTCTTTTTTCACCACGCTGCAACATTATGCCTTTGATTAAAATTGTCTAAAAGTGTGTGCTGTTATTCTTGTATTTGAACAATTATGTTAAGACTCAGCCCTCTCTGTGAGGGCTGGCTTTTCACCCCGGTGTTACTACTTTGAAATCAATTTTAGTTTAATTGATCGAAGCTGAATTTGCATCTTTGCCAAGAAGAAAAGAATACTGCCCTTTATTACCCTTATCTCTGGTTGGTGTTTAATTCTGTCATTTCAAGAGAATATTACAGTTACACATTGTCAACTGTAAATGACAAATACAAATGCAATGATTTTTTTCTCTCCCATAAACATATAGGTACTGTGTTTTTTTGTTTGTTTCAGCTCTCAGGCTGTAAACAGTCCTCTCTGGCTGTTCACAGCTCCAAAGTGCTGTAGTTGTTTTTTTATTTACATTGGGGAGACATTCCATGTTAGCATTGTCATTGTGAGTCTACAGTCATGCTCGCAGCCCTATGAGGTTGTACCACGGATGTATAAAGATAACTGGTTGCAGCGTTGGAGGTGGGGCCCCGTTCATTCCTATGAAAATTGCTCAGGGGCACATGTAGCTAAAAATGCTCTATTTCCAGACCGAATTGATTAAATGCTGATAGTGAAACAAGGGGGATGGGTTGTGACACTCAAATGTAAGTCTAAGGGAAAAAGGTTTTTTGGGCCCAATGGCATCACATGACAGACTTGAAAGTTGTAATTCAAACGTTTGGCCACAACAGAAATTGGCTTCAAAGCCCGGCACACTTCCAGGGGGCCTGGGTTTTACATAGGGACAGTTTGAGCTGCATACATGCTATCATGCTGACAATGACAATGCTAACATGCTGATATTTAGCAGGTGCTGTACCATCTTAGTTTTTTTTACATGAGCATGCTAATATTTGCTAATCAGCAGTAAAACACAAAGCACAGCTAAGGATGATGATGTTTGGGGGGGGGGGGACAGCAAAGTTATTACAAATCATCGTGGGCTCAGTCCCAATATATCCCTTGCCCTTCTGTTTTGTGCATTCACGTCAAGGTGATAAGATGTCCCAATTGTTGTTGTGATTGAGTACATGGCCCTCGATGATGATACTGATGACATATCAGGATCTCGATGAGTCGCCCATTAATTATATTCACAGGGGAAGATTTCAACCGCTAACCCTGTTTCGAGGTGCAAAGGGGCACTCAAAAATGAGGGGTAAGGGTAAAAATAAGAAATGGGACTGGGCCGTGAATGTCTGTAAAAAGATTCCACGGCAATCTATCCAATAGCTGCTGAGATATTTCACTCAAAACAGACACAAAACCTTTTATCAAACCCATAACCTGATCCCCCAGAGTTTGAAACATAAGAGTAGATGACGTGAAGTATCTGAGAGGTAATTTATGAAAGTTAGTTCATTATTTTAAAAGAAACACTGGCCCACGTTTACCATGTATGCGAGGGCCCCCATAATACTGACTACCTCTGCAGCTGTTCTTACATGGTAATCTTGTACTTGATGTGGTTTATCACCGACATGCATCCTTCCTGTGGTGCTAGGAATTCAACGTGACTTTAACTTTAGTGAGACGCCTGTGAATGCATGAAGGACTTGGGTTGTATTAACCTATGAAAATTCTGAAATATCGGTCACACACACCCGCACATGCACACACCTCACCCATATTCAACCTCTGTGCTCCTCAGCCCCCCAGGCTGGGACTCTGGATCTTATTTCTTAGTGACAGGTCCAGGACAGAGGAGGGGAGGTCAGTTCATTTTTTGGCTGCTGGGAGGAGGACGAGGGGGGGTTGAGGACACAGGATGAGCTGCCAGATTGACAGGCCGATGGGGCTGTCACTGGGGGCCAAGGTGTAGAGATGTTCAGGGAGTTGGCGTTTGCAGCTCAAAAGATAAGCATCAGTGAGAATATGAGAGGCTAGATGGTAATCTTTCACAGGAAGTCAGGCTATACCATTGCAGAAGAAACCACAGGAGAGAGGCTGACCTTGTGCGCCTGTGCTTGGCTGCATCGCTTTTTGGAGGAGGCCGGGCCTCTAACCCACTGCAGACAGGAAGATACTCTAATATAGTACTGCTCTGTTTAAAAACAAAGACAAGTCAGCTTTTGAGTTTATGTGCTGATCACAGAGAAGTCGCCCTAAACTTTTGTATGATCGCAGAAGCATGAATTACCAAAATTTTGAATGTTGTGCAACATTTATCCCTGACATGATTATGGTTTTAACTGAAACTTAAGTCTGCCTTAAAAATAATGACATGAAAGATGTTAAATTGTTCTGTAGAACTGAATCTACCACCTTTCACATCATGTATGGTCATCTGATCAATTGCTAATATAAAGAAATTAAACCTCATTACGGCTCCTAAATATCCAAATAAAATATATTTGTGCTTCCACAATTATTTTCAAGGAAAAAATACAGTTTATTACAGCTCTGGTTACAGCAAGTTATTTGCAGAGGAATGTAGCGACACTGTTATCAATAGGTCAGATGGGTCAAGATACATGCAGTTATCTAATCATACAGGTTGAAAACAAGCCTCCAGTTTAGTCAAACTTATTTTGGAAGAGAAACAAAATACTTACAAGTTATTTCCAAAACTATTCCTAACAGTTTACCAACCAGATTTGTGGTTCAACATTGACTTGTGCTTGTCATAGATGTGCATTGTTATGGTCTTTTGGTAAAACCTCCAAATAAAGTGGTAACCAATCTGGATTAACTGTCGGCTTGTTTGCCACATGCACATGATCATGTTTGTTGTATTAGCGACAACCACATTGTCACCACAGATACAATCAATGGCTTACAAAATAAAACCCAAGTTTTCCTTTAACTGTGTTAACTTTGGTCTGAGCAACATAAAAAGTTTTCCTTTAACTGTGTTAACTTTGGTCTGAGCAACATAAAAAGTTTTCCTTTAAGGTCAGAAAGTACCCTGTGGCGAGTGATGCACATATTGTTTGAGGTCACTGTTTTTTTGAAGGTTAGAGAATGAGGCTTTAAAGCAGAACATCACCTGAATAATTTCTGAGACTTGCAGCAAGGTTTTTAAAATAAGAGTGAGTAATGCTCAGCTCTATATCTCTAACTACTGCCAGTGTGCCCTGTTCACAGGCCAATAAAACCGGCTCCATGGCCAATGCTGAAAATATTCTCAGCATGATTCAGCAGATCTTTTTGTCTTATTTCAGCTGTTATATAACAACTATTAATAGCTTGAGTTTAATGCCTCTCATCGTCTGGATTTTGGTTTATGTGATGACCAGCATGGCGTAAAACCATCATGCTGATATTAAATGTTGTAACTGGACATCAAGTGATCAGAGTGCTGAAGATGAGAGGAAAAGTTTTGGTTTTTAAAGAAAAACCTGACAGTCATTAACTGTTTATGCTATAAAATGGAAATATTAAACTAAAGTGAATTGAAAGGTTAAGCTTAAATAAAATATTGTCAGAAACTGTAATTTGGGTTCATCTTCTTGTTTGATGTAAAAATGAATCCAGGTGATCTGATGAGAAGAGTAAATGTCACCCTGCTTCCTTTTGCACTTGAGCAGAGCAGATGTTGAAATGTCACCAGCTTAAATTAGGGAGCATACCTGTAGCACTGGCAGATTCATTTGACCCTAATTTACTGAACAAACGGTCAGGTCCTGGTTTTCAGATACAGTCTTCCACATTCACGCTTTGCAATGCTGTTGCATGAAAACAGTTTCACACTTTTGAGAGCTGTCAAATGGCATGAAAAAAGCTAACTGCAAATGTTGAGGTTGAGACTCGTGTTCAAATTACTATTCATAGATGTATATTAATAGGTTGATGCAGACGTTTGTGATATGGGTGTTAAGTTTTCATTTACATCAAACAATGTTTCCACTAATTGTTTGAAATCAGAGCACAGATGCACAAGAAAAAGAAGACCCCCCACCCCCACCCCCCACGAACAAACCTTGTACTGTCTAAAACAAAAGTAGACCTCAGGTTATAGGCCAGTTATTCACCACACAGGAAGTCATTTTGGGTTACTGCAGTGGGCTGCTTAACACCGACAGTCAGACTTGAAGCAGCCCAGGTGTTTCTGTGTGTCTCTGTGAGGGAAAGAAAAACTGCACACTATCTATTTCTGTAACCAAATAGGCAGAAATTGCTGGACACCCACTGAGGCAGTTGTGCTCGTTGTGCAAGTCATCTGAAAAGGTAAGTAACTGCTGTTTTTATGAGTGTGTAGAAAAGCCGTAGAAAGTTGGCCTGTTGTAAAAATAGATGAAAGTGACAAGTATGTAAATATAAAAAAGAGGTAAGCTTTGAAATGCAGTATTTCCTGCTAGAGTTGAGAATCCTGCTTTGATTAAAATTCAGTTTCTGGTTGCTCTTAGGTTTTAGATTTAAGGTAATATATAAACTGCAATGTGCAGTCATCTCGTTTTATACTCAGTTAGGGTGTGTGAATTTGGTTTTGGAGGAGCATTTTGCAACAAAACACTATAAATCAGACTCACCATGCAACAAAACCTGCAGAACTCATCTCTATAGTGCCACATATATAAATATAAATAAATATATAAGGTATATAAACGTAAATGTCTCGTGTTCGCTCTAAATAATCGCTCAAATGTCTTCACGACAATAATTAAATGGAGTGACTGTATACTTTACAGCAAATTAACTTGAAAAAGATTAAGGAAACACACTTATTTTTAATTTGCTACAAGTATTACAACTTAAGTAACAAATATCAAACATATCTGGCTTTCAAAAGAGGTGTTTAAATACATATTTACTGCCACAAAACAAACTAGCAGATGACTAATTTCACACATAAATATCTATGTTAATGCCAAGATAATATTACCAACAATAGTGAGAAACATTTTTGGAAAAATAAACTACAGTATGTCTCAGTTTGATCCCTGTTGATATTGTCTCTCCCCTCAGACTGAGCTTTTCTCGCTCTCTGCTGCTGATAGTTTCTTGATGCCCGAAGCAAAGCCAGGTTACAAATCCTTAAGTAGTCTGGTGGTTTGAGTTGCCACAAATCCTCTCCCAATTTCCATGGGGCACAAGTTTATTTTCCAGACTAACTGCTCAACCTCAGACGCTAGCTCCAAGTATCTAATCTCCTTCCTCTTCATGCGTCTCATCCAACACCACTTCCCGTGGCCCGGTAAGCTCTGCAAAGTAGACAGACAACCCCGCTGAGTGCTGGACCACACTGCCAAATCCAATACTGTGTTTGATTCTCTGTTTTGGGACTCTGAGTTGGTAGCCTGTAATGTCTCCTGGCATTTTCACAATCCCTGGTCCTCGCTTAAATGTCCTAACTTTCTATTTTGGGCAGGTTTCCTTCCTGCTTCCTGTTTTGTTTTCCTTCACGGCCAAAAAGGATTCAAAAATAAAAACCTGTCAATCAAAAAGTGATTGATCGGTCCTGATCCTGTGTTTCTCCTTCTCTCATTGCCTCTCTCCCTGGAAACATGATTTTAAAATTGATTATGTGTCTTAAAACGCTCAAATGGAGGATATATGACAGAGACCCACGTATCAGTCTCAGTCCTCTTTTCACCATTCAGATTCAGGTCAAAACACAACAGTTACTCCTGGAGCCAATCTCAACTGACATTGGGTGAGGCGCAGGATACACAAAGCCGACACACATAGAAACAGACGACGATTCACGCTCACATTCACAGCTACCAAAAATATATATAAATAATATAATCATCTGCACCTGCATGTCTTTGGACTGTGGGAGGAAGCCAGAGAACCCAGAGAAAAACTCACGCTCACACTAAGAACATGCAAACTCCACACAGAAGGGCCCAAGAGAGGATATGGGTTAAACCCGGAAACCTCTTGCTGTGAGGCGACAGAGCTAACCACTGTACCATGCTGCCCTGTGTGTTGGTGGACCAACAAAATCGCTTTACCAGTCATTTTGCCAGTGGCGGGTGAACAACATGACCCAGTTACTTTAAAGAAATGTTCTTTTCATCACTAGCTGTAACAGTAGGCACAGGTGGTTTTCTTGACACACACATTACATCAACACGCTCTTCACTGCTAGGAGTGGCACTAACGTTAGCTTGCTGCTCCTGGCCTGCATTTAATAACGCAGGATTTGATTGTCGAAGGCGAAGCTCTGTTGTGTCATCAGCGTGTTCTCTTTGTTTTGCCCCTCTGGAGCTAGGTCAACATTATTGAAATGTAACACTAATTAGACAAGCTGTCACCATAGAAAAGCAAGCAGGCAGGGAAGAACAGGAACAGGTGAGCATCACTGAATGCCACCTGGATAATGCAGTTTATTTAGGGCCATTATGAATCACCCAGAGAACCTGATATACAGCAGGCAGGAAAGAGTTGCAAAAGAAAAAGTCAGTGCCCCAGAGAGTAAAATGTAGGAGTGCTAGTACTACGAATCTGTGAGTACCCACTTGTCCATTCAGAAAAAAGGAAAACTATGTATATTTAAATGAATTTATTGTGTAATTGTCACATAATGTGCTGGCACAACATCTATTTTCTACATTATGCTGATGACATCTAACTTTCTCTTAGCGAGGTAAAATAAATTATATTAATTCACTGCTCTGCTCTGTTGAAGCAAACTATGTCACTGAACAGCAGCCACTGTGACCACAAGTGACAACGAGACAGTAATCTACAGACCTTTCATTGCTGTTGTGTTGCTGGGGGAACAGCTTTGGTCCTGCCTGTTTATTTCCTGTCAGCTACTGCAATAACAAACATGGTGACATGAAACACAAAGAGGACTGTTTATAATATTCATGTGTAAGTGTTGTCTGTCTGTATCTCTCCAGATATTTGCTAACATTACCAACCTTAGGCTACTTTTCATACAAGAACAGGTAAAGCTGTAGCTGCAAAACTTCTGACTTTAACAGGTTAAACAAGGTTGTGTTGAACCGTTTATGAAACAAGCTTTTAGTTTGAAAGACGAAACCTGTTATGTTAACAATTACACAAAGTGACAAAACTGAAACCTTAACCACAAAGAAAACAAACCAGTTAGTGATGTTGTTCTGCTATAATTATATTTATATTATCTTATATATATTATATTTGTAGTTTACATAATTAGAATTATATTGATTACTTTTAAGGTTTACAAAATTGTTAATATATCTTGTAATGCAAGTCTGCTATTAATATTCTTATTGTGATTGGTTTGATAAAGTTTTTTCATCCAAAGCTGTAAAAGTAAAAGCTTCATATGAAGTTAAATATTTTTTCCTTACATAATACAGGTAAATACTTTTTTTTTTTCGTCATAGCGTTGCCCTTAATTCAGATTTTACTGATAAGCAGTCCTACTTAAGACAGAGACTTAATTTTAATCACATTAGGATGACTGACTAATCCTGGAGGCTCAGTGGGATGTTGATTAATGAAATATATCTGCTTTTTTAAATTCAGCATCTGCCCTTCTTGTGTTATAAATAAAATAATACATCTTTCTAAATAAAGATATTTCACAATAAATGTATTTTCTTTCCACTGAATGATAAAACTCAGATCAACAAACTGAGCAGTGAGGTGCCACAAACAGCTCTGTTCAGCTGTATATAAAGATCTCATTCTTCTGCATGTGCAACTGTTGAGCAAAGTCCAAGGACAAATTGTGTCGGAGGGCCACATTCTTTAGCAGAACGCCAAACTAATGATGTTTTTCATTTTTGTTTCAGCCCCTCGTTAGCTGCAGAGAGAGAGAGGCAACAGCCATGAGTCTGCTGTGATAATGGTGAGTTATGGCGCCCGTATCCACAGCATTTCCCCGATGGTTCCACATGAATGTTCCCAGGGGAAGCTTTGGGAGTTTGCAGGCTCCCTCTGTGTAATTACCTTTTAGCGCAGGAACGAGGGGAGAGTGAGATTCTGCTCTGTCATTGTTAGTGCACAGCAAGAACAGTGCAAGATTACTCTTTGTATTTTTTATTATGATTCATGGGTTAGATTTTGGGTGCATTAATATTCATTTTGAAGTTGAATTATGAAAGTATATTTCAATTTATTTAGTCTTACTCATTAATACAATAGTCTCTCATATTCACTGATAAATAATAATTTAATGTCATTTTTAAGTCATTTTTACTCCACATAAATGTCTTATTGAGGTTATGATAATTACATGCATACTAAGCTCTGACAGTGAGACAGCATTGGCAACAGCTTACCATCCCCTTCAGATACTCGTTATGTACTTTCTATGCATCATTGGGTCACAGTGTTTCTTAGAACTGCAGCACAGAGCAATGGCACGAGGTGTAAAGTGTGTTCTTTTATATCATTTTTCTGGCTTTCGGCTCTCTCACCTCGACTTCTCAAATCACATGAACTCCTTTCAGGGTTATGCACTTGTAATTCTCTCCATCTTTAACAAGGATGAGGTTCATATGTTCATCACAAATGAAAATTCCAAGTCATAACAGCAGTAAAGCCTTTAAGTCAGAGTCTGTACTGAGTTTAAAAAAACAAAAAAAAAAAAGGTTCCCTACCAATAACTGTCATCCTCTTGCAGGATGATGACAGCCTTCTTTTTTGGTTGATTAGATCCCCGTAGCCATCTGCAAGTGAGCTTGTTCCATCTGCAGCCTCTAAATAGAGAGATGGGTTAGACATTTTCAGCACACTGGGCATGGATATGCTCAATGTGAATATATATAGCACAAGAGCAGAGGAATATTTTTATTAAATTCTTAATTCTCAATGTCAGAGGCACTGTTTATGTGGAAAAGTGGCCATGACAGCAAGTTTTAAGTTTCTTTTGCTGGAATTTAGACATTATATATTATATTATATTATATTATATTATATTATATTATATTATTATTATATTCATTATAAAGTTTTCAGCCAATTTTGGACTGTTATATTTGCCATAGCAAACTTTTGTGAAGTCAAAATCACGATGTACAAATGTTGACATTATTCAACTTTAATAGGCAGTTTGAGTCACTCATAAAACCTGAACTTGTGCTTTATTTTGAAAAGACTTTTCCACCATTTGCGCACAAACATGCAATTATCGTTTGAATCACTGTCTTTCAAAATAAACTCTTGGAGTTCATCATAACGCCTGCAAGCAATGAAACCTAGACACCCAAAAAGAGACACTTCCTGCCTCTGGCGACATGTTTGTGGTGAGACTGCACCTGCCGGACAAAAACATCAATTTCCTCTCAGAGAAAGCCAATCTGGACTCTCTTTTATATTACCAAAGAACCACTTTTGACGCGAAGCCCATTGCTTTTAAATTGAATGATTAAATTGGCTGGTTTGATTGGCCCCTGATTGATTCACCCAGTGATAATATATTCATCTCAGTCTAACCCATTTTTCCAGCTTCGCCATATCTTAACCAAAATACAGAGTCACACCACATTTTATGTCATGTGCCGTTAACATAAACAGAAATAGAAAATGTTAATTATTCAACACTTTAACACTTTGTCATCGACTGTCATGTTTTCTCTGTGACTGGCTGTAAATGTGTGTAAATGTGTTCCTGTCTGTGTGACGGTGAGTCTTTAAAAAGGAAATCCATCGGAGATAGGCAGCGGGTTATGTTGCAACACCTCATTATAGCTTCCTGTGTTTATCAATGTTGTATGTGCTTACAGGATTTAACACAAGCTGTCTACTCAGAATATATTACTGTATCTGACTGTACATAATGAGCAAGAAGCAGCAAGACTCAAAGGTGATTGCAGGCTTAACTTGTTTCATTACTGTTAAGGCAGATTAGCACATTTGTTTCCAATAAATCAATTAATGCAGAATGAGACTGTCATCAAAAGTCTTTCTCGTCTGAAACCACAGCGACACACACACTTTATAAGAGCGCAGTGTTCATAGATGAAGATGAAGTTTGTCTTTTGTACGTTCAGTATCTCCAGTTTGAAAATGCTGCAATTTCCTCACCACAGGAGAGCAACAGGACAGGCAGGAAAAGAAATCAAAGATGCTGTAACCATAACAACGTCGCAGAGCCTGAGTATGACGTGGTCGATGACCAAGAGGAAGTGCTGCATGTGCGCATACTTCCTGCGAGGCCCATACATGATGAGAGAGAGTATGCAGGTAAGGAAGACAACAATGACTCCTCACTCACATTCACACAGCTTTTCAGTTCTGGTTTAGGTTACAGATTTTAGCCTGGCTTTAGTTTCAAATGTACAGTCGAAATTTTGTTTCTGTGTGTAGCTTTGATGACAGTGACGCTGAGAGAACAATAAACCACAAAGCTGCCGCATTGGTTGCTCAGAAGGCGGAGACTTAGCCTGAGTAATTCTGTCCATCTGTAGGAGTAACCTGACCTTTATTTTTTGTCCCCACCCATCTTATTCTCATTACTCCTGTCTGTCTTAAAGGGACAGGTCACCCTGACGCCAAAAAAAGCAACAAAACATATATGAAAACTCAGCAGCAATGCCTCTTTCCATAAATCATGACCTGGTTAATCAAGATAATCCACGGACCTTGTTGCAAGCTGTTAAATGAAGAAACTATGTTCCTTTTACTGAGCTACAGCCATCTGTATCACCACGCAGAAGGTGTAGCTGTGTCGGACAGCATTCACTCAATCACTACTCCCTACTCACTATACATGGAGTTCTAGGGGACAGCTGCAACATGTAGAAACACTTTCAGACACTACTCAAGTCATTTTCTCGGCTGCATTAATTACGTCATTGCTGTCGCACAATTAAAACCTGTCATATCAACGTCAGCTGGTGAGCCATAACAAATACTGACATGCATATTTGTGATAAAAACATGAACTTAGACTGAGCGTATTTTCCCCAAATTAATAAATAACGTTCCAAAGTAGTTTGTGGCTGTTTGTGTTGTGTTGTGTGATGCGCAGCTCTGGTCACATTGAACACAGGCAAATTAATGTTACACCAGCAGACAGACAAGAGGATAGAGAGCAGCGTGATTGCAACCTGTCCTACTAATGTTAGTAATTTTCCGTTTAACCTTTGATGTGTTGAAGTTTGTTTTACCAGTCATTCATTCATTACTTGTGAATTTAATGTATAACACTATGCATTACGCCATTACAGCAGCGACCCAGCTTGCCAACATTAGCTAGTGTTATTAGCCCTACTCTGTACAATAACTGATAAGCACTACAGATCAGTTGCGGATTTATTTCTTTATCTTCGGGGACTGATGACTACACATCAAATAGACAGTTTACTACCTGGCAAAGAAAAACAAACTTTAACATGTCATTATAAGTTAAACATGTACAGCAGGTTGTAATCGTCTCGGTGTCTGTCCCATGTATTTCGTCTGGCACAATTCATGACAGGATATATTGCTTGGTGAGTGACCATCGGTTGTACACTACTTCTCAGGGTGCATTATGGGATACTTTGAGTCCACTACATAGGGTATAACGATTCCCACTATACATTTGGACAGCACAACAAAATGGCAAACTCACTATATAGTGAACGATAAAGTGAAAGCTCAGCCAAGGAGGACACCATTGACGTTTACAATTTGCACAAGTGTTGCTCCCATGAATAAATGCACATTTCTTAATGGGCAATGATACGGTTGGTGGGTGTAGTTTGGTGGGAAAAATTGTTACCACAAGAAACTGCTCACAACAAGGTCTGTGGATTATCTTGAGTAACTGGGTCATGATTTCTGGAAAGAGACACTGCTGTTGAGTTTTTCAAATTTGTTTTATTTCACTACTTTCTTAATTCTTTTTTTGTCGCTTTGAGCATCACAACACTTAGTAACTCACACCTAAAAAATATATTTTGATAAATAGCACCGCAGGTAACAGGTAAAATATGTATTTTTGATTTTTGAGTAAACTGTCCCTTCAAATGTAAAAAAAATCTAGCACATAAAATACATACATAGCTCCAACTTAAAGAAGTGTTTGCATTACAGTTGACACAATGAAAGTGAATTTGGTTCATTTTCCTACACAGAAAGGCTCTAGTGAACATAATTAGAATGAAGCTGAATGAAGTGCAGGCACAAAAATAAAAGCTCCACCACAAACTGTGGTGAGCATGAAAAGCAGTGTGTATCTGAGAGAAAGAGAGAGAGGGAGCTCATGCTGAGTGAGCATGATCTGCCAGTGGGTCTCCAGGGCCATCTGTTGGCTGAGTCAGACTGCGGGAGATTACAATTATCCAGGAGCCGAAGGGGGAGAGAGGGAAGCATGTAGTGTGAATAGACTCCCTTTACTCTCCTGCATGGATGTGGCCCACAGCCAGGGGCCTCACAGCTGCATGTCTACAACTTTATACTGAATGTGGCTTTTAAATTTGTTCACACTTGGAGTGTTCTCCCTCTGTAATCAATACAGTCTGCTGCTGCAGCGTGCTGCTGGGACTGGCAACGACCAAGTTACAACAATGATACAAACTCATGGAGTGTTTAAACTCTCTGCTTACACTGGAACTACTGAAACTACTATCATTACTGTCATTGTGAGAGTGAGGGCATCACAACTTCCTTTTGCTTTCAAGACAGGGATCTTCCAAGGTCATCGTCCTCTCAGAGCCTTTCATCACTCTCCACTGTAAGCCTTCTGTTCAGTTTTCTTTTAAAGTAAATGCTTCATTGGAACTGTACTACTATAAATGTCCACTTATACTTTGTGTGCTCTCCACTCCATCAGGGTACCGCCAACACCCCCCCAAGGCAAACCACACATAATACAGGTAAAGTAACAAAACTCACAACAGCTGAATTTGGATTATTGTGGTACAGACATTTTGAAACTCACTGGAAATCGACTTATTCTGTCATTCAGTTATGACAGAGCATTAGTTTCCTATTAGATATATACTTATATATCATAGTATAGTATATTATACTTATCTTTTTCATGCAAAAATTGTTTGTAAAGTAACTAAAGCTATCAGCAAGTGTAGTGCAGAAAAATGTACAATATTTCCCTCTGAGATGAAGTGGAGTGGAAGTATAAAGTGGCATAAAAAGACTCAAAGTACAGGTACATCAAGTCTGCACTTAAGTACAGCACATGAGTAAATGTACTTATTACTCATCACCACTGCAGCTTTATGACTTGTCTCTACTTGGCCACAGGCTGCTGCTCAGCAAAGCTACACAGGGTCACTTTAACAGCATAATTCAGATTTAACATTAAATTAAATGGCTCTGTGGAATGTGAATGGGTTGCTCTTCGTATTGAAAACACTGAAAACAGACACTAAACCACCTCTGCAGGGCTTTATAGTCTCCTTAAGCCCACTGTATTGGTTTTACGGCACAGTTACTGCATGGTTCAGTCTTTTCAACATTCGTGGGCAGCTGGTCTCAAGAAAATAGCTCTGGTAAATCTCCTGTACACTACAAGATGCAGACGCAGACAGTTCACTAAGCAACGAGCTAGTAAACACAATCAAGCATCTTTCAGCTAAAGACCAAAACATTTGTCTCAGTTCAGGGGATATGAACACTTTTTGAAATCAAATTTAATGCTCATTAATACATTTTTAATGAGTAACTATGGTGAAATATTTATATGGACACTATTACACGGACACTATTTTGACACTTAGCTTTTATGGACCGTGAGAGGACATTTAACAGTGGTATGATTGGACTCTGGCAAGTTTACGTACATCTCATGTCAATACTGTTATTTTGATTTACCCAACTTGATTGTTTCTATCATTATGGTTTATTTACTTCTATTTTTGTAAGTCAATCTTTACCTTTTTTTTTTTTTTGCCTGGTGTTCAGGGAGCTCAAAACCGTACCTACAAGCTCTACTTCACAGTAAACATACACCATACATAATTACCTGTCTGCATGCTGTCATTGTTTTAAACACAGGACCTGCAATAAATAGAGACCTGAAGCCAGGCAGAAAAAAGACCAGATTCGGTAAGACAACTTAACTTCCCTCACTTTCACCCTCCTCTGGCCTCAGACGCAGCCCACATATTCACATGTTGCTCTTACAGAAAAGAGGCCTGCACCTTTGCCGCCAGCAGAACAGGTAAACATTTACAGCTTGGTGTATCATTAACTCTGCTTCTGTGTCAATAAATCATGTTGATTGCAACTCATATAACAGATGATGACTTTTCTCTCTTTCTAATATCACAGCTCTCACGCAGGTAATTTACTCTACCACTATTCAAGTTTTTAAGTAACCCAATGTTGAGTTTGAATGGATTGTAGATGGACTTACAGCTGAAGTCTGTGTACTTCCAGGCAATCTCCATCACCTCCACCATTTATCTCGGAGTTGGTGAATCACTTGCCCGGGCTGACTCTACACGAACCCTGCAGGAGGAAGTGAGTACTGTTTTGCTGCAGGGCATGAAGCCAGTCGACAAGACCATCACTTATGGCTGTTTGATTTAGCTGTAGCTGAGTTTGACCCTCCCCTCCTCTCATTCTTCAGTTGTACATCCTTGATTCTTCTCCCCACCTTCTCTCTCTGCTTTCACTTGAAATGAGAGAGGAGGAGAGGAGAGAGGAGTCAAGGCAAATGGCATTTAACAAAATAAGACATGCGTGAGTTGAGGCCGTCATTTTAAAGCAAAGTCAATTAAATAAGGCGTGACACACAGCTGATGATGCAGCTGTGTGTCACGCCTCTTTCATACGCCAAAGCACCTCCGCAAAGGATACAAATGTGCATCCGAGAACAAAGCTCCTCTGGCAAGCCTCCTCTCTCCTCTCTTCTTGCATTAAGACCTCCTTTAAGATTGATTTCTGGTTCAAAAGCAGGAGGATGGAGGAGAGAGGAAACGAGGACGCGCAAAACAGAGACATGAGAAAAGCTCCTTATATGACCCTCTGCTCTGTGTGAATGTTGCAGAGGGAAAGGAGGCCCTTGGAGTTAACTGTGTGTACAGTGTAGCAGTGGCACCATCTGCTGGTTAAAAAAATAATCACAGAAAGCAAATTGTGATGTTATGTTTAACTAATGTCCCCTTTTTCATTTCAGTGGGCAGAAAGCAACTAGAAAAGTAAGTAGTCAAACATTCAGCATTACTGTGACAGCTAAGAAATTATGTGTCAGGTTTTCTTTTCATTCTCATTCTGTGCAACTTCTTTACCTATTTCATTAACTGTTTAAATTCTTACACCAGTGATACTCAACTTGCAGCCCATGGGTCAGATTTGGCCACAATTGCCTGCTGACCATTTTCTAATTCTCAGTGAAAATCAACTGACTCACACTGGGGTTTTTTTTGTTAATATAATTTTAGTGTAAATAAGGTGTCTGAGAGCATAAAATGCATGCCAACAGAGGTCCAGGCTTAACTGTAGGCCTAATGTTTATTTATTAACTGCCCCTGGCCTCCTGTCATTTTGCAAAAGGAGCCACTGGGCAAAGCAAGAGCTTCTCTGTCCTACCCTATGTCTTGTAGTAGTGTCGAGTCTAGTGTCTGCAACCCTAAAATTATGTTTTTATCTACATGCTGCGAAGTACCAATCTTTTCATCGCTTTCTTTGCTATTTTCATTATAATTCTGTTGATTATATTTTATTCTAGTGTTGTCAAAATATTGATTTATTGACACATATTGATTCTGAATATTTGAAATGGTTTCAGTATTAATTGTCGTCAGTTTCAAGACACCAACACCAGCTGCAATCTCTTGCTCTCTCTTATTGTAAATGTCATCAGGGTGTTCTCTGCTACAGTAGTTGTTGTTTGTCACATTATAGCTTTGTTATATCTATATTTAAATTGGTTTTAACTTCATGCCCTCAAGTGGTATCGATTATTATTCTACACAATCAAACTTGTAACTTGACTAGATGTGATTACTTATGTCTTGCCATATTGTTTTCTAATCAACTGTCTTTTTAATACTTCCAATAGGCAGAATTCAGCTCACAAACCAGAGGTAAGAGCTACATAAGTGTGAGTGTAACATTTTTGGTTAAAAACATTGTGACGGTTGTTGATTGTTGAATGTTTTTTTAGGTCTACACAGTGCTGAAAGCGATCCATCCCTTCATACCCATTACAGGCATTCCTTGGATTTGGAAAGTCAGATTATAGACACAAGGTGTGACTTTCATCTCTTAGACCTTTCAGGACAATTTTATCATGTTATGTCATGTTTGATTTACTCCTGCTTCTTTTGTTTAGGTCACAACAAGATTTCGGTAAGTAATGTCACAGATCATCAACATCATTACACAGTTATTTAAGAAATAAGTCAACATTAACGTCTACTTAAAGAAAGGGTGCCATCAAAACGTCATCACCATGAATGGCCTCAGACTAAAGAAGACTTTGACCAGCATGACTTTGTTCCAAAGGAGAAGCCTCAACAGGTAAACTCTCTGCTGTGTAATAAAGCAAAGAAATAATGTCATTATTAACTGAACTCCGTAATGTTCAGTGAACAACCCAATCACAAGAAATGTTGGCATTGTATGTTTCTGCAAAACTAACTACTGATTAGTTATATTTGTATGTTATGTAACGGACACAATGAAACTTCAACAACACTCAAGTTAATTTGTGGTTATGTTTAGGCACAAAAGACACTTGATTAAGGTTGGGAAAAGATCATGTTTTGGCTTAAAAAAAATCCAATTTGTTGGCACTATCTCAATATTTCAGTTAAAAACAACTGCTTTTCGTGGCACAATCCCTGCTAGAAATGCAGCGTTTTTGAGGTAAGAAAAACAACCACTTATCGTGGCACTACCTCAGTGGAAAAACAGCAACAAGTCGCTAAAAAACATCCACATTTGGTGGCTAAACAGCTTCTGGAAACATAGCAATTACTCAATAAAAAACAACCGGTTTTGTTGTTTCTTGGTCTCGAACGGTGGTCTGCAGCTTGGCAGCCATCTCTCCTATGTGTCACTCCATCCACTACTCCCTCCACATCTTGATGACAAAATCAGCTCATATACTATGAGTGACAAGTTTTCAATGCCAACATTTTCTTCTGGGGACTATGCTGCAGTGACAGTCACAAAGAGCATTTACTTAATTTAAGCACAATTTTGAGGTACCTGCACTTTCAATTTATTTTTACAATTAATTTTTAATGTTCTAATGACTACATTTGTGAAGCAAATATTGTACTTTTATTTTCACTACATTTATTTGACAGCTTTTGTAACATGCTTCTTTACATATTTAGACTATAAATACAAAAAGGTATTTGGTAGTATTAAATGTTATGGCTGTATGTGCCCTGTGCTGCTGTCCCTTTTCCCTCCATTGTAGTTCTGCCCAGGTCATTACTTATCGAGGTGCACTGCACCTGGCATGGAGGAGGTGCTTAAGAGCTCCTGTGTCAGCAGCAAAGGAGAGAGGCCTCTGGCGTGGGGACTGCTGGTCCTGCGGCCCTGTGGGGAGCTCTTAAGCACCGCCTCCGTGCCAGGTGCAATGCACCTCGTTAAGTAATGCAGCACACCTGGGCAGAACTACAATGGAGGGAAAAGGGACAGCAGCACAGAACACATACAGCCATAACATTAAAGTAATAAAACATGGCCTTGTCAACATTAAAGTAATGCACACATAAATGCATTGCTGACTATATTAAATGTGTCATTCTGCATAATAAGTACTTTTACTTTTGGTGCTTTAAGTACATTTTGATGCCAACACTTTTTGTAGATTTTGATGCAGGATTTTTACTTGTAGCAGAGTGTTTTTAAACGTTAGTGCTGCTACTTGTACTTGAGTCAAAGATCTGATTACGTTTTCCATCACTGGTCATATTTGGCAGACATACTGTGAAGACTGGTACGTTGGGGACTGTACTCGAGCAGATGCTGAGCACGCTTTACACCTGGTAAACAAGGTACTGGATCTCTTCTGCTATCAAATATATTCAAAAAATCATATGAATATGAAGCTAAACTTCTTTTCACATTGACCACATTAGGATGGAGCATTCTTGATACGAGATTGCTCCGTCAACACCAACAGTGAGCCCCTGGTATTGGTTGTGTATCACGAGAAGAAGGTTTATAATGTAAAAATACGGTTCATCGAGAGCACTGGCAAGTACGCCCTGGGAACAGGACAACGATCAAATGATGTGAGTGGATTTTTTTTTTCAAGATGCATTGTAACAAGCACTCTCTCCATTATATTTACTGAAGCTCGCATCTTATTTCTCCCCAGATGTTTGACTCTGTTGCAGACATCATCAAGTTTCATTCCATATTCCCAATAATACTCATCAGCGGGAGAAATATGCCCTCAAGCAAATACCCAGAAAACTGCGTGCTGACATTTCCAGTAACGAGGAGGGATGTTGACCAGCTGCTGCAATAACACATGAACCATTCCAGCACAGATTATCTGTTCAGTCCCATCTGGTTGTAACCCACAACATCCACTGAGGTTTATCATGAGCATGTTAGGGAAAAGCTCGCTGTGTATACAAATTGGGAAAGTGTGTGCCTGTGTCAGTAAATAAAAAGATTTATCTAAGTCTACAAATAAATATTATTTTCATTATCAATTAATCTGGTGATTATTCTTGCTGAAATCTTTCATGTACTAACAATCCAGAACACAAAGATAGTCACTTTATAATAATACAAAACAGAGAGAATCTGCAAACTCTCATTTGTGAAGCCGGAAGCAGCAAATAATTTGTCATATTTTCTTGATAACTTCACCAAATTAACAAAATAGTTGGTAATTAAGTTTCTCTAAGCATGTCAGAATTGTGAGACTTGGGCTACTAGATCAAAATTATGATTCAGTAAAACAAACTTATAGTAAAGTAAGTCAGTACGTACCACTTCTATGTCTTCTGGGTATGGTTTTCATATAAGCCTGTACAAGTTTCTACCACACCTTACATGCACATTTTAAAATATCCCCCCCCCCTTTTCTTTTGTAAGTATGTGTGTAAAACAAATAAAATAAATGATGTATTTTTATGGATTAAGCCACTGCACAAAGTAGTTAAAATGAGCTCCACCTTAACCAGCTCATGTTACAACTTTAAAATGGCATTAATGTATTATAATTCAATGATATATATTGTTCTGAAATGGGCCACAGTAGAGTCAGCCATTTTAACATTTGGTATTTTAAGTGCTAATGCTACTTGTGGATTTTAAATGCAGGACTTTAAATTGAAACTGATTTTTTTTACTAAAGGTTGCTAAAACCTAAAACCCTAACCCTTTACTCTGTAGTATTGAGTACATCTTCCATCACTGGTCAACATGAACAACTGTACTTATATCTCATAATTTTAACTTTTAAATCGATAAATGTCGAGTTGTTGTTCCTTTCTCTAGCTTCCTGACACACATGGGCTAGTACAGTCAAAGATACTGGATTACTGGTTTATCCACCGTCTTTGGTATAGTGTTAGCATACGTTAGCTTAGTGTTGGATTCGTTGCGGAGGACTTAAGAAACCAGACTTAACCTTAGCTAGTCTGACAGACGCTAATAAGGCTGCTTCACGGTCATTAAATATTTACAAATCTCATAAATTTAACCAGTAGCCTTACAAATTACAAAAAAGTAGTCATTAGACTCACCTCTTGTTGGTCCTAGTCGGTTTCACCAGTGAGTTAGCTTAACTGTTAGCATGTAGCAACCGCAGCTGGCACTGTTGCTATGGATACCTGTATTAATTCTTCTTCGCTGATTACCAACGGCGGTTAAACTGTTGACTCACAGGTGTCCTCTCATTAGTGACGGATGTATTTAGGTCCTATATATCAGTAAAGGCATCAGTAACACTATAATACAGGTTAAAGTTCTCAGTTCAAATATTTATTAAAGTAATTAAAGCTAAATCTACTTTGTGTATCACAGGTGAAACTAGTTTCAAGTTTGTATTGGTTTGAAAGGCTCAGTACATGACATAGTATTTATGCAAGTATACAAGGCCTGTATTTTTTTTCATAATATGGAGGTGGACTCCAGTGCATAAAGAAAAAAAAAGTTTGGAAAGAGACATTTCTAAACATGGAACAGCTGGAGTCATTTTTACTGCCACCCTTATCTTCTATAAAGTCATAACAAGTAGGAAAATATATATTACATAGAATAACCAAATCCAAGGTCATTTATAGAGCCTTCTGCTGCCCTCTGCTGGACATAATGTGAACATGACTCATGTTCACAGAGAATCAACGTAAGTTCAGCTTCTCTGTCACAATCACTCTGACTCAGTCTCCATACAGAAACCTATTGTGCCCACAAAAGATAATACTTTTTTTATCATAAAAACTGTTTTATTCTTCAACAAAAAGCAAAAGATTAGTGGCTTCCCAGCAGCTCATCTGGTGAAGCATACACTCCATGTACTAAAGCTGAATCTTTACTGCATGGCCTGGGTTTGATACCATCCCAGGCCCTTTGCTGCATGTTGTCCCTTCTTTCTCCCTGCCTTTCTGTTATCTTTCTTCTGTACTATCAAGTGACTGATGGCTGTCTTTTATACTAGGTTGCCTGTGGACACGTGGACTTCTGACATGAATGAGTGGAGCTGGTGTGTCGCAATGCCAATCTGGCTGGAGACTGCTGCCAGATACCCCAAGAGTGAGATAAGGACAGTTGATTGTTTTCAGTCTTTGAACTTCTCTCCATGTAGCAATGGTTTCCTCCATGTTCTCCGGCTTCCTCCCACAGTCCAAAGACATGCAGTTTAAGTTAACTGTTGACTCTAAATTGCCTGTAGATGTAAATGAGAGTGTCAATGATTGTCTGTCTCTATGTGTCAGCCCTGGCGATCTATCCAGGTTTGCTTGTTTGTTAAATGTTAAGTTCCAAAAGTGATTTGTGCACCTAGAACCAGGGATGGGCACTGTTCAGAGTTAGAGAACCCTTTTGGCCAATCAAAATAGCTTGTTTGGACACATGTCCTTTAGTTCCCAAAGAAGAAAACAAACAAACAAACAAACAAAACTCCAGTAGAATTTTCCCTTAAAGTTAAGTCTAGGTCCCAGTAAAGTTAAAAGTTATTCACAAAGGATCCTGGCCCTCAAGGGAGTTCCTAAAGTAAGAAACTGTTAGGAAGAGGCATAAGAGTTTCTTAAGCAGATGAGAAAATGGTGGAAAGACAAATAGGAAGGAGACATATTCTCCAAATTCAGTAAATGAAATGTTACAGATTAAACCTTGCAGGGATATTGTTTGTGGTTCATCTAATTAGAGATACACTCACATCTTCCATCCGGCACAATAACGATATAACACCAGAAATAAAGTCGTGACCACATGAAGACCTTTGGCCCCTGTAAACGTGTCAGTGCAGCAGTGATGACTTGGGTGTGTCTCAAACTTCCACAGTCAGTCTCGGGCCAATTTTAAATGCCCCTTGGCCTGTCTTTTAAAAGATGCTTTATTATTAACACAAGTTAATAATTTAATCAAGAAAAATCAGTTTACATTTTTTCTTTTTCACTCACCTCATTATGTCAGGACACAGTTTCTGTACTCAGGTTATGTCATGATGTTCAGAGAATGAGATATGTAGGAGAAATACCTAGAATGTTTGCACTCGTAATAAAGTTTGGGGCATCACCCTCCTAATGAGGGAAGCGACTAATCAAATTAATAACTCCATAAACCAATTATTAGTTCCTCAGTACACTTATCAATAATCAATCAATCTCAATATCTGGGTTATGAATTCTCTATACAGTGATCTTAATTCCTGCTCAAAAGAGATATCCACAGAAAACAACTTGGCAATAAATGAAGATTTATTTAGGCTCTCTTAGCAGCACTGGATCATTCTCCTGATTCTCCTGAGGACCCCTGGACTGTCGCCTTGCAGCTCCGGGACTTCCCAGCAGAATGAAACTGGCAGAAACAGTGGTGGAGTGAGCGGTTGAGCCTGACTGCGGCGTCCTTCAGGTGGCTCTCAAACGTTGGTTCTCTTAAGCTGCAGAAAGTCTCTGGGTTTGGCAAAAGAACCACTGTGACAAGTGGTTGGCAGCCGCTGGCTCCGATGAACTTTTGATGGAGTGACAGGTCGAAAAGTTTATCTGTTATCTGTGGCTACTCGCTTACAAACAAAGTTGAAAACAATCTCATTGGCCCTTCGATATTATTATCAAAGTTATTAAACGCGTAGAAAGAATGTTGCAATCGGCTGGCTTCATCACTGCAGGTATAATGTTACTGAAGGCACTGGAAACAAAAGAAAAACTGGATAAGTAAAACTTAAAAATTTAGAATAACTTTGATCGTGAGCAAGAAAGAGTTACGCAGGAACCGAGTTTAAGAGCGTAACGGATTCAAAAAGAAAAAAAAGAAAGGGTAAGAGAAGTGACAGAGTGAAAGAGTCAAAAAAATTAAAAGAGGATGAGATGCGCCGAGCTCACTTGTTTTATCCCACCCTTGAGGGGGAGTGTCCGAAGTGGGGCGGGCCTCTTAGTCTAGACATTACTTTATTTCGGAGGAAACTTAATGAACTTTTAATGAAACTTTAATTTGTGAGATTATATACTTTAGCAAGTTACAAGTGATGCACACACTCTAAGTTGCAGTTGCAATAAAACAGAATGAGAACATATAACTCTAAATATAATATGGGCCTCCTTAAGGGAACCCACTTTAAATACCGTCACAAGATGGCAGCATGGCTCCATGTTAAATGAGGGATTAAAAACCTTAATTCGTAATTTCCTTATATTTTGTTTTACAAGATTAAAAAAAACATCATTCAACTAACAAACAAGGGTTATGCACATTTACAACATTATAACATGGATATATTTTCCATAAAACAAACTTCATGGACTGCATTTTTTCATCTGCGTAATATTGCAAAAATTAGGCCTATCCTGACCGTAAAGATGCAGAAAAATTGGTCCACGCTTTTTTTCCCTCAAGGCTGGATTACTGTAACTCTCTATTATCAGGTAGCACTAGTAAGTCCTTAAAAACTCTCCAGCTAATTCAGAATGCAGCAGCACGTGTACTAACAGGAACTAAGAAACGAGATCATATTTCTCCTGTTTTAGCTTCTCTGCACTGGCTCCCTGTTAAATCCAGAATTGAATTCAAAATCCTACTGTTAACTTATAAAGCTCTAAATGGTCAAGCTCCGTCATATCTTAGAGAGCTCATAGTGCCATATTATTCCACCAGAACACTGCGCTCTGAGAACGCTGGGTTACTCGTGGTCCCTAAAGTCTCCAAAAGTAGATCAGGAGCCAGAGCCTTCAGCTATCAGGCTCCTCTCCTGTGGAATCATCTTCCTGTTACGGTCCGGGATGACAAGCAGGGACAGGATGTATTTGGACTTAAGAAGCATTGTCTTACGACATCGTGTTGCCCCAAGATGAATTCTTTTAAGATATTATTGACAGTCAGGACATGGAGGGGTCTCAAGTGACCTTTTTACCTCTGCTTGGCACAAAGATGGCTGAAAGGAGCATTTGTCAAGACTAGGGGTTGAGGCCGGGGGCAGAGTCCTAAAAATTTGACCCTCTGGTGGTCTCTCATTGGTCTGTTCATTGATAATCCTGGTTCAGGGGGA